GGTCCGAGTGGACTTGACAGTAACTGATAGTCACAGGGGTTTATATAGATGGAAATTTCTCCAGTCTCCATGAATGTCTCCCTGTCCAATAATTCCTGAAGCCTCCATTTCTAGCCTTACAAACTCTCATGACCTTGTCTTGTCTATCAGCTCCTGGCAGGGGAGTCACTTTTAGGAGTTCAAGCCAGAACACCAAACCTGTTGTAGTCAAGTAGATTCCAACACATATGGGAAATCCTTCTTCTTTCATCTCAAAGATGGTAGATGTGGGGAAGATCGAATGGTGTATATTAGAACAGGTTCTGCATTGGAATCAGGAGACTTGGGCTTCAGTCATAGCAATACCACCACAAATCAAATGACTTTGAACGGCAGTAAGGAGAAAAGCAACTGTCAGTACTGAATGCCTTCTATGTGCCAGTTCTGGAGTAAATTGCTTTTCGTATGTTATCTAATGTCTCTAAAGTTCAATATTCTCACTGTTGAAATGCAGATATTACCTTCAGAAACTAGCTGACAAGACTATCATGAGGACCACATGAAAAAGCCATGTTAGAAAAGGGTTTCTAAACTAGAAAGTGTTCTATAATGATTTTTAAGAGTTAAAAATTATTGTCAGTTTTAAAGGGAAAATAGAATTTCTACCTAATAAATTAAAATTTAAAATTCCATTTTGCGATTTATAAGCTGCATCAAGAAGCCTCAAGTTTCTGAAGTAACTCCTCCCATCAAAAAAACCCCCAAAACCAAAAAACTTGCATAAAGTAATTGTTAGGATATAAGCAGGGATAAGAAATTCAATTAAAAGCAAGTTATTTGATTATTATCTGACTTTGGCATTTTACACAGGTACAAATTTGAGCACAAAAATGATATATCTCAAAATTGTAAGACATACAAACTCATCATTTTGAGAATTCTTAACTCTTTCAATACCTTTAATTTCTTATTTTGTCTTATTAATTATTGGGGCTTGCAAAACATGAGCCTAATGGGGATCATTTTGCCTGAATTGATCAGCCAATCCTATAAAAAAAAACTGATGAACTTTCTTTTTTTCCCCCACTGAATCAATCAATTGGCTGAACTGTCCATTGGGTGCTTTCATATTTTTGTATATCTAGTCTAAGCTGCAACAAAGGCATTGACTGCTAACCAGAAGGTTGGTAGTTCAAACCTACCAGCTATTCCATGGAAGGAAGATGGGACAATCTACTTCTGTAAAGATTTTACCTCCTTGGAAGTCCAATGAGGGTTGTTATTGAGTATGAATCGACTCGATGGCAGTGGGTTTGGTTTTTGCCTAAGATCTGAAAAATTTACTAATAGAAATAGCAATGACAATATCTGCTGAGCATTTAGGTGTGCCAGACTCTGCGCTCTTATTGACTTTTTACTATAACCTTATCAAGGTTATTACTCCCACTTTATAGACAGTGCAACTGAAACTTAGAAAAGCTTAGTAATCTATGGAAGGTCAAACAGCTAGTGAGTGGCAGGGTGGGATCTAAACCCTCGCAAAATAGTCCACTTTTATTCCAATTAACTGACCATTACCAGCAAATGCACTTTGCATCAGAATTGCCTAGTATGATCTTGTTACATAATTTTGATATCCTTGGGCATAGGTCAAATTACTTCGAGACAGACCATCCAAACCCATAAAGTTATTTTGATGGTAAGTAAGTTAAACAATTTGAAATGCAAGACTTGTTTTTTTCAGGCCATATCTCCTTTGTAAATAATTCATTATTCATTCAGCAGCTATATTCATTGCTACCAGTCAGCGAGGGCATTGTGGGAGATAAAAATACAGTCTAGTGAGAGAGACAGTGATGTTTGAGAATGTAAACAAACTGCTACTGGCATTTTAAAAAGGTAAAGATTTCTTGTATTGGAATGGATCAGAAAAGTCTTCAAGAGGCCTCTCCACCAAAAATTCTCTTTGCCCTAGACACCCATGGCTCACTTCTTCCCTCTTCCAGTTAGTTGTAGTAATGTCATCTACTCATGAGACTTTCCCTGACCATGTATTTAAAATTGTACTCTTCTAACACACCCTATCCTACTTCCCAGCTTTACTTTTGCCTTAACACTTATCACTACTTGACATATGGAATGCTTTTCTCATTTATTGATTTTGTTTATTTTCCCCATGTAGCATGTAACGTCCATGAGGAAAGAGCCTTTTGGCTGTTTTATAACATTGGTATAAATCTAATGCTAAGAACAATGCCTGAAATTGAGTATGGGCATAATAAATATTTGTTGAATGGATGTTGTTGTTGTTGTTGTTGTAAGCCATCAAGTCGGCCCTGACTCATAGCGACCCCTCCTTGGGTTTCCGAGGCAGTATCACTACGGAAGTAGGATTGCCCAACCTTCCTTCCGAGGAGTGGCTGGTGGGTAGAGGAAATAATACATAAGCTGTGCTTGAAGAATGAAAAAGACTTATGGGGCATTGTTTAAAGGAAGGGAATTCCAGGTAGGAGAAATGACCTAAGCGAAGAATGAAGATTGCAAGTTGCACAGTATGTTTAGAATGTCTAGATATGGTGGGAAAGAGTCTGGAAGAATATAGCTGACCTGAGTGATTATGACTTAATTCCACTGGCAACAGTGAGCCATTAAGGTTAGGACTATTAAAAAATAATTAACCTTTAAATACATACTTTTTAATATTTAGTATTTAATAATTAAATTTAATTAAAAGACTGAAATCCTTCCAGGTCATTCAAATGCAAAGATGGTTCCAGGTTGTATTCTTTCTGAGTCAATGTGATTTTAGAGCCCTCTTTAGAAAAAACAATATAAGATTATGAATACTAAATTAGATATGACCTTTTCAGCTTTTATGACCTTTTCAGCTTTCATGTTACATTTCTTAGTCAGTGCAGTGAGTGGTAGGAGTCATCCAAAAGCATGCCTTTCACAGGGATGGCTAACAATTACATAACTATGCATTGCCATGACTACAAGCCATAATAAATATATCCTGCTAAACCCAAATTCCCTCAGCCAGATCCCAAAGATGCTTGTAGCCTCTCTGATTCCACCAAACAAGAAGGGATAGATGCTGAAGAAGTCAGAGTAGAATGAGACAACAAACGATGATTAACAATTTGGGCTTAAAATATCTTTCTATGACCATGGGCACTTATTTCTAGGACCTTGGAAGGGTCCTAGAATGATGGGCCCAGAAGTTTTAGTGGCTTCATGGTAAATCTTCTGGAACTCTGGAGAAAGGTATAGGATGAATTGTGAGGCAGAAGAATATTAAGTATTTGGGTAAAGAGGTGATGGTTACCATGGAAATTTGGAATGAAGCATGAGATAGAGAATGCAAAGGAATCATGTAATAGTACTCATCTTTGAATCAAAGGAAAGCTTTGGAAAAGTCAAAGGTGTCTAGAATCATTGCTTTGTATACTAAGTAGTAATCAATTGAACAGTTTTTGCAGTTAAAGTGTCTCTGTATTTTTAAAATCACATATAGACATATTAAATACTGTTTACATTTTTTAGATGAAACTGCTTGCTCTTTAAATTTGTTCTGCTATGTTATTCGACAGTGAAAGCAGTGAGTTATTAAATAGAATCTTAGTGACATGAAAGAATAAATAAAGCTTCTCTAGGTGACTTACAAAGAGAAAAAACTTAGGCAGCAGGAGAATGTGGTTGACAAATCAAAGATCCATTAAATGGAAACTCAGGTTTAACAGTTTTTTTGCTGTCTGCTTTAGAATATAAAAATCACCATGCTACTTTAGGGTAACATTTTGAGGCTGGAAATACTTCTATTAGCGAAAGTATTGAGTTAACATAGTGTTGATTCGAATTCCATAGCCACAAACAATGGCAATTGCAGTCTATTTATAATTAACTTGGGACATATCAAGAAAATTCCTCATATTTTAATGATTTAATAAAAAAATTAGGAATATAATTGATTTAATCACATAGAGAAGAAAAAAAAAAATTAAACTGTGGAAGCAAACAAAGTCCTTGACTTGACTCTGCTTTTGAACAGGAGTATACTTTACTCACCATATTTTACTAAATGAAAACCAAACCCACTGTCATCAAGCCAATTCTGACTCATAGTGATCTCCATTGGATTTCCAAGGCTGTAAATCTTTACAGAAGTAAATTGCCTCATCTTCCTTCCACAGAGTGGCTGGTGGGTTTGAACTGCCAACTTTCAGGTTTGCAGTCAAATGCCCTAGGCACTGTACCACCAGAGTTCTTTATCTCTTACTTACATTGGGTTATATAGAAGTTTCTATGAAAAAAGTCTAAGGCATTTGACTACTACTAACCAGAAGGTTGGAGGTTCAAGCCCACCAGCCATTCCTCAGAAGGAAGGTTGGGCAATCTATATCCATAGTGATATCGCCTTGGAAACCCAAAGAGGGGTCGCTATGAGTCGGATCCTACTCGATGGCAGTGAGTTACTCCCAACATAAATTGTAGAAAATAAATGCATTATCATGAAGGTTCACACTCAAACAGAAATGTAATTCTTCATATATAAATTTTAAATGCTGAATCTTAAATAAAATGCTATTGTAAAAAAACTGTTAGGCTTTCAAATGCCTATTAATCTAAGATGAAACACTATTTTTATATCATGTATGAATTTTGATCAAAAACAACGATAACAATGACAATAAACCCTAAAACCAAAACTCAACTGTGATCTGTGGTAGGCATTGTCTTTCTGAATAAAAACAAAAATTGTCAGCTATCAATGCGGCAAAACTGAGGATTGATGCTTTGTTTATGAAGCAGGAAAACTTGTTTTATTTTATGTGTTAATCCAATAGATTGAGAGTAACTCCTGGGGTGCTTTGTTGGGATGAATTTTATGGCTGCTTCCAGCCTTGATAGGAAAGAGAACTTTGATCAATAGGAAGTGGGAAGTCACAGCAGCTTTGATATGCATTTGCTATCCATGATGAACAGCATTTTTTAAAAAGCAATCAACATAACAGACTTACCCGATAAGCCACCCACATCCATCTTCTTCAGGTTCTTTGCCTCCAGAATGACAACAGTCAGTTTACCAGCAGTAGGTACATAGCGAAGGGAGAAGCAGATATCACCCAATTTCTCTTGCTGTAAAAACCAATGAGAAAGTATTAATAAAATTTCAAATAAAGACGAATATAGTTTGTACATATCTATTGCAGATCCCTTAAGAGGAGGATTATGACCATTAGACTTTGAAAACTCTTAGTTCCATTGGCACTTACATGTTGTTGTTGTTGTTGTTATGTGCCGTCGAGTCGGCCCCGACTCATAGCAACCCCTCCTTGGGTTTCCGAGCCAGTATCACTACGGAAGTAGGATTGCCCAACCTTCCTTCCGAGGAGTGGCTGGTGGGTTTGAACCGCCAGCCCTCTGGTTAGCAGGCAAGTGTCTTAGCCACTATGCTACCAGAGCTCCTTCTTTTATTCACCAAGACACCATCAAGAGTGACTGTAATTTTAGTGATATGAGTTCCTTTATGTAGCTTTTTCCTTGGTTCTTTGGAAAAACAGTTTGAGAAGTTTTTATTCTAAGCTCTGAGGAGTTACTTTTGCCCTAGTTTTCTACCCTAGAGGGGTTGGTTGCTTTTGCCCAGGTTGCTTGACATTTCCTGGGCAAGTTGTAAAAATTTGGTTTAATAATTTTTGTCTGGCCTTAGGCTGCAGCCTGCCCTGTCACAGGTATGCATTTTACAGGGACTGGTCAATAGACTATGCAAATGAGGTGAGTTGTAGCCTATTATGCAAATGAAGTGAGTGTGGCCTACTGAGAGAGGATCAGTCAGTTCATGGACCTAGTGGGAGTGCCATGCTTTGAAAATGACAAGGATTTTATATACTTAAGCAGCCAGTCCCACAGTGGGTTTTGGAGATAGAAAGTAGCAGGAAGAGAAGCACCAAGAAGTAACAGAAGGAAGAAAAAAGAGAGAAGCAGAGGGAGGAGTCAAGGGCTGTAACACTGAAGACAGTGACAGAGCCAGTGGAGATAGACAGCAGGGCTGAGGGGAGCCTGTCCTCTGGTGGCAGCCGAGAGCAAGCCTGCACAGTAAGAGGAGCCAAAGAAGGGAGACTTTGCTTACATTCGTTCTGTTCTGACCCCAGGTTGTAGCCTGTTGATTCTGTTCCCAAGTTGTACCCTGTTGCTTCCTTAATAAAACTTCAACGGTAAGTATGGTCTGTGGGTTCTGTGTGGCCGTTGCAATGGATTATCAAACCCCACAGCCTAGTAGAGAGTGCCATGGGAGGGATGGCTGGTGTTAGAATTGGTAAAAAGATTGGAGAGTGGAAGGATGTCTGACCTCCACTTCCAGAATCAGCCTTGTGCTGAACTTGGTTTGCATTATCCCCCTGAAATTAGACAGGTCCTCACAATATTATTACTACTACTACCCTTTTACAGTAATCCATTTTAGTTTTTTTTTAGAAATCAATTGTGGTTGTGTTTTTGTGGCAACTTGGCTGGGCCTGGTTGAGTGGCTGGGCAGCTGGTGGTAGTTATTCCCTGTGATGAGACTGGCAATCAACTACATGGTGGTATCTACCTCAATAGCTGCTTTGGGTATGTCTGCTTCCCATATATAAGAAACAGCTTTGGGAATGGTCTCTAGCTTATGGCACGCTTGGACCCTGCATGTAGCTTTGTCATTGTTCAGCAGCCTGCCATGCTCTGCCGACTTCGGGACTTACAATGGACTTAAATTAATGGCCTTCTGTGTGGTTTGGTAACATCAGGACTATGCCCTTTTACTTGTCAGCCTTGGGTTTGTCAGCCTCAGCAACCAGCAGCTGTCTGAGTGAAGAAACGCCTCTAGCTCTAGTGGGCCGGGAGCAGGAGGCAGAGCTGGACCCCAAGGTTGAGGGGCTTTCACCCAGCCCCTAGAGCCTGGCACTTTGAACTTGGACTTAAAGCCTCCAAACTGTAAGAGAATAAACTTCTGTTAAGGCCATCCCATTTGTTGTATATTCCTGTCACAGCGGCACCAGGTAATCAGAACATCCCTTTGTATTTTATTTTGAATACTTATTGAAGTAAATCTATAATTCAACAGTATGGGAAATGAGATCAAGTTGACTTTCTTAGAGACTTTGTACTCTAAATGATACTATAAGGCTATTTTCAAAAATTTCATAACTATATTAAAAAGCTTTTATAAGAGCCTGACCCTTTTTTTTTTTTAAAGTAGAATTAAACTACATAAACTTGTCTTTTTACATTTCAAATAGATTATGTCTAGTTCTTTAGATTTAGGTTCTTGGGAAAAATAAGACTTGCATTTGTGTTCCATTAAATTGTATTTATTGATGAGAAATTTTCTGAATTTCTAACAACTGAAATGTTACAAAATGTGTTTTTACATTATTGATGATTTTGGTTTTACTCATTTCAAGTGCAATACGATATCTTTCTTTTTCCCTTATTTTAAAAGTTACAGAAATCTGAGAGCAGGTTGAAAAATAGAATCACATAGTAATATAAAGCAAAACATCACATACCCCAATATCATTTCATTGGTGCCATATTTTAGGCCCAAAGAACATTCACCAGTTCCATAAGCATGCAATCTTGAACAACTGATTCAGAGTTTAAAATGATGATGATATATAGAACTTTTACCTTGTTTCAATATGTACTCATAGTCGTTCTCTCACTTTGAGTCTTACTCTCCAGCATTATGAATAAAGCATCATACTATTATTCAACACAGGTAGAATTTGCATTCGTGACATAAACATGAGAGAGAAGAGTATCATGAGGTTCACTGTACACCCCTCAGATACTGAAGATTGTTGATTGCTTTCTGACAGGAAATTTTCTGGCAAATCTGGGTTAATTTCTTAGTACCTTTCCTCTGAAAATGTGAATTCTGATTTCAAAAGAATGCAATGGTTATGTCAGATTTCCTCAGACTTTTGCACATTCCTTTCTAAATATAAGGATGAAGTGTACAGAAGTCCAAACTCTAAGAAGCTTATATGCTACACTTTTATTATGATTTTATTTTGTCTTATCTATAATTTGCAATGTGTGCTAAATCAGCCAGAGTCTCCAACTGTGGAAATTATTGCCAGGATATAATTTAACAATTTAAAGAAATGTATTTAATCTGGGGAGCCTCTTGTTATATCCATTTTTCAAAAAGTAAATTGTTTACCTGTTCTATGATTTATCTATCTATATGGGAAAAGCAATACATTCAACTTTTCTCTATTGATTTCCTGTTTTAATTTAAAATGATTTTGTGTTAGTTGTTACTGTATTTCTTCTGCCTACTTTGGATTTAATTTGCTCTACTTTTTCTAGTTTCCAAAGTTTGAAGCTTAAATAATTGATTTGAGATCTTTCTTCTTTACTGATATGTGCATCTGATACTATACATTTCCCTTTAAGCACAGCTTTTGCTGTATCCTACAGATTTTGATAAGCTGTATTTTCATTCAAGGTATATCTTAATTTTTCTTGAGATTTCTTCTTTGATCCAGTTTTTTTTCCTTTAGAAATGTGTTGTTTTTTTCTGTAAATACTATGGGAGTTTCCAGCTATCTTTCTGTTATTGATATCTAATTTAATTCCATTGTGGTCTGAGAGCATAGTTTGCATGATTTCTATTTTTTAAAATTTGCTTATTTGTATTTTATGGGCCAGATATAGTGTATCTTGGTAAATGTCCCATGTGAACTTGAGAAGAATGTATATTCTGCTGATGCTGGATGAATATTTTATAAATGTCAGTTCAATAGAGTTGACTGATAGTGAAAATATTTTCAACATGTGTGTGTATTTGTGTAAAGTGGTGCCTCTTTCTACTTCAGTAAGGAGCTCTGGTGGTGCAGTGCCTAAGGCATTTTGACTGCTAATCTGAAGGTTGGCAGTTCAAAACCACCAGCTGGTCCTCAGAAGGAAGACAAGGCAATCTACTTCCATAAAGGTTTACTGCTTTGGAAACCCAGTGGGGGTCACTATGAGTTGTAATCAACTCAATAGCAGTTGTTTTTTGTTTGTTTGTTTTCTGCTTTAGTAATGCTTCTGTTGGAAACATCACATCTTTTTGTAGCTCCAATTCTTTCATTTCTTGAGTTCCCATGTTGTTGTTGTTGTTATTTGCCAGTTGAGTCAGCCCAGACTCATAGCGACCCCTCCTTGGGTTTCCGAGGCAGTATCACTACGGAAGTAGGATTGCCCAACTTTCCTTCCGAGGAGTGGCTGGTGGGTTTGAACCACCAGCCTTCTGGTCAGCAGTCAAGTGCCTTAGGCACTATGCTACCAGAGCTCCTAGGGTTCCCAT